AGTGTAAATGTTGACACCCTCTTCCATAACAGTGTGATGGCTGGAGTGAAAATCTGCGGGAGGAAAATGGAATTTTCTTTGTTCAGCCAAAAGCATCATTATAATAATTTGAGTGGAATTAAGTGCATGGAACAAAGAAAGCATGTGAGGTAGGAAATGTGGGCTCTCTTTAAAGAGACTCTAACATTTACTGAAACATCTAAATCCATCTTGCCACAGAAGGGTAAACATTGTGAACAGTAATGCCCTGTCTCAGAGTGCTCACAGATCCTCCAGTAAAAGTTTCAACTTTTAAGGCATTTTATATTCGATCATGGGGTAAACAGTTTGCATTCCAAAGTGTGTGAGTCCACATGGACCATGAATGGAAACTGCTGATGGTTTGAATTCACCCTGGAATGTGTGCCAAGAACAAACATTACTGTGTGTAAAGAAATCTGCATGTACTACATGAAGTTTTGCATGTACCGCCAGCATGGTTTTTTTTTTTTATGAAAAGGGGTGGTTTGTTGGAGAATGGAAAAAAATTGAGACTTGCTTATGTTCCTTGAGCAAGTATTCCATGTTTTTAGTAAGACTAATAAAGAGATTCCATTATGCATGCTTTTGAAAAAGAGTAGTGTTGGAATGTTTTGCTTGGGACCTTTGCTTTTCATATATAACCCTTGCTTTTCATAGAATTGTAGCATATCTCAATTTGAAAGGGACCCATAAGGATAGAGTCCAACTCCCATAGATCCACCAGTAAATATGGAGAAGGTACTTAAACACAGCTGCTGATTTTTGTTGACCCATGAAAAATAATTTCATAGAATCATTTGGTTGGAAAAGACCTTTAAGATCATAGAGTCCAACCGTACCTGTCCACCACTAAACCATGTCTCTAAGCCCCTCGTCTACCCGTCTTTTAAATACCTCCAGAGATGGACTCGACCACTTCCCTGCGTAGCCTTCATCCAAACTATACTGACAGCTCAATCTCAGAAGTTTCTTTGCACACAGGCACAGTTAGTTGTTTTCTTTTTTAAATAAATAGGCTTTTGTGGTTTGTGCCAGTGTCAGTTTCTGTATTGGGTTCAGCAATCATATCAAGTAACACTGCATTAGGTTAATTCTGGCATCTAAGGCTGTTATAAACCAAGTATTAGGAACAGAAGGACCACAGCTTCCTAGGCAGTGTGAGGGCATGCTTTAATCCAAGGTTCAAGTTACAACATTTGGTGTCTACAGCATCTGTCTGTGTACCACTTCTGGTGAATGTGTATACAGTCAGCTTAATCACAAAGTGAGTAACAGCATGCAGCAATAAACCACGTTATTTGGTTGTTCTATGTCATGTCCTCTGTGTCTCTACTGAAACAGGAGATCAAATCTGTTTTGGGATACTGTGTTGAGCTAAGCTTTATTTAAAGTTGGATTTGTATGTTGTTTGTGCATAAAAGCACTTTCATTAAGAGATAGATCGTGTATATATGGAGAGGTATGTTAATTAAATCTCCTATGTTTTGCATTTATTTTGGGTTATTGTCTATGTGGCAGTCATTCTAGTTTCATGCTGTAAGTTGCCGTGCATGTATGAAGCAATATGAGTTGGGAAATCTATGAAATAGAATTTGGATAGTGTCTCTTGTTTGTTTGGCTTGCCTCCTCTTCAGCAGAGCCTTATCAAATGCAGCTATATACAGTGAGACCTATTGCTTGTAATATCCCTAAAGTTAATCTTGTATGCTCTATGAAAGTTTTGAAGCTAAACCAATAACACTTTCTGCTGCAACCAATTGTAGGTAGGGGAAACTTACATTCTCTCTTAATCCAGGAAGCCTTTACATCACTGAGTATGTCTTTAAAATCACACTCTATTTCACTGTCTGTGAACCTTAAGAAAAAGTCTGAGAACATGTATTCAACAACTCAGTTGCAGAATTAACAGCATCGTATTGTTACAAGCTGGAGAACACTATTTCAGTTGACTGTGACTTAAGTGTATTTTTCCCAGACAGCATTTGTGTGTGTTTTCCCAATAAGCTATTTATTGAAATTCTTCAAGCCTGAGAAGGTCTGAGACTTCATGAAGTTATTTTTGAAAAGACTGCTAGTCTTTATCTCGCTCAGAAGGAGGTCTGTGTGATTAAACCCATAGTCATTGACAGTGGACTTGAATTAAAAAAAAACAAACAAAAAACCTACCAAAAAACCCCGAAACAAACAAACAAAACCACCGCCCCCCCCCCAAACTCCACAAACAAACAAACAAAAAACCACCAAAAAAACCTCAAACCAAAAACTAGTCATAAACTGCCAGCAGGTTACGTGCTGGTATAAGATATACTGCAAATATTTTCATAACACAGAAGAGGAGAAAATCGTATAACGAACATGAATGTGAAAACAACCTTTTCCAAGTAACTAGCAGGTAAACTTATTCTCTTGATTCTTTTTTCTTGTTGATCTATTTGTGGTTAAAGGGTAGGTGACTTACCTGGCAGGAGTTATGTAATCACACCTTTTCAGGAGCTGTGAGTTCCTCCTTCCTTTGAAATTGGTCTGGGTTTTTCCTTTGATGAGGCTATTTTTTAAATGCTATTGATTTTTGTTAAGGTGCATGTAAAGTAAACTAATGCTAAAACTTGTCAGAATTTGCATACCTCAGTATTGGTTGACTGAGCTATACTATTACAGGTTATTTTGGCAAAGGATTCCATTTGTGTCCCAAAATAAATAGTTGGTGAGTTTAATTTGGACTGATTTGTGCTCTCTCACACCTCCATGAATACAGCTCTTTTTTTAATTTATTTTTAAGATAAGGGAATATCGTAAATAAGTGCCAACAAAACATTGAGACTGAAAATGTTAAGACAATGACTTTGCTGACAGTATGCATGCTAAAAATAATGAATCCGTTACTTCTGGCTTCATAATCTGACTGCAATTTATATGTTTTCTAATAGTTAAATTGTGGCAAATATCAAATGATCCCACAGGCAGAATTTCTGGCTTCAGTAGCTGAGACCTGAAGATGATCTTACTCATACTAAGAAAGCTAAAGATGTCAAAACGTATCTGTGGGCTTGAAAGTCTTAATATATAGAGATGTGGAATTCAATGGATGTGTATTGAAGCGTCACTGTATTTGAAGAATTAAAAGGGGCATTTGGCAGTCTCTTGTCAGTGGGACCTATATACTTATTAGCAGATTGCAATGCAGAACTAATTGGAGCGACGACTGTGGTGCTGTCTAGATAAAGAGCCTGTTAATACCCCCTCTGAGGCTGTATTCTTTCTCCTGTAGTTAGGCTCCTCTGTAAGCTGTGGTCAGATCGACCTTTCTTTGGCTGGATGCACCTAAATAAGCAGCCTACAGCTTCCCTCCTTCTCCCTCCCTGTTCTCTGCATTTTTTTTTTCCTCTCCAAATGTATTTCCTAAGTTGACTGTGCTGTTTTCTTATGAAACACATTGAGGAACTGCCTGCCCTGGGTTAAAATTATTTAGGAGAAAAGAGGAGGTGTGGCTTTGTCTGCATGAACCCGGAGGGTTTCTCTGAGACTGTTTCTGTGCAGTTGCCCGGTTGGCAATTACAGAGGAGTTGAGGGGATGAGGTGCTAAAGCTGCAAGGAGGTGCAGGAGCTGCTTAATCGAGTGCTGTCACCAAGAGCAGTGCTTCTGAAGGAACCAAGGCTGAAGCTTTCTGTATCTTCTGCAAATGTGACTTGTTGGCTGCTGGCACAACCAAGCTCAGAGAGGACACTGATGAACTCGACCATAGCGTTCCTTCCTTGTGTCTTTGCAGTGCTTTTCTGGTCTATGTGGGACAGATGAGCTTCCCTCCAGTTACCAGAGAGGGAGTTAATGAAGCTTTTATGCAGCATGAAGTTACAGGGTGTCCCTCAGAGAAGATTTTGCATCATACTGAAGTGCTAGTGTGGACAGCTTCTGCCCAAAGTAAGCTAAGCTAGTTTAAGAGAATTTAAGAAGTCTGGAGAGCAACTTCAGTGAAGACTCTTAGATACTTTGAAAATTCTACCTCTAAGTACGTGAAATTATCTTCTAAATTCTTTGAATCATTAAAAACTTAATCTGAAGGTCAGAGCTGCTAGTGCCCATCTAAGTTAGCTGGACTTTCATGTAACTTAGGAGTTTCTAATACTGTGTTGTTTTTTTTTAAATTTATTATTTTATTTTAGAGAGCAGCAGCCTGCTATATCTGTGATCTACAATGAATGCCAAATCTGCAATCAGCAAAGAAATTTTTGCCCCACATGATGAAAGGATGCTGGGAGCTGTCCAAGTGAAAAGAAGAACAAAAAAAAAGATTCCTTTCCTAGCTACTGGGGGTCAGGGTGAATATTTAACATACATCTGCCTGTCAGGTAAGATTAATGATTTTGACATCCAGTTATCTGTTTTGGTTTATCTTTGATTAAGTGATTAGATGTTACCTGTAGTCATAAGGAGCTGGGTGACTCAAATCTTAATGATGTAACCAGAGAATTATGGCATTTATATCTTTAATCTTGAGAAACCACACACTAAAGGCTATTAATATTTATACCATATAATTAATTGAACAGGTGGTTTCATTGTTTAAAAAAAATTAGGTGTTCTCTCACAGCATAGCTGCAGCATATGAACAAATAGAATATTTGGTAACGGTCTTTGCTTATTGAGGTTAAGGTCTTTCTTGGAGGGATGAACTTTACAATGTATTACCTTTTAATGTCCTGAAATTTTTTGTTTGAAGCAAATATGCTTTCCTCTTCTCTTCATATTTGCCTCTGTGTACCAGCTCATTGGGTACTTAGATATGCAACTTTCAGCCAGAATATTTTCAGTTTATTGAATGGAACAGTGGTGCTATGTGTCAATCACCTGACTTTAAAAGGGATGAAGATGGAAATACTTGGATTGAAAAAAAGGATATGTAAAGACATGGGTTTTGACAGGCTGTGGGGAACAGGGAGAAGTGATCTATGTGTTGCTAATGTGTTCAGATTAAATTAATTTTAGTTTCTCCAAGGTCAAACCAGCACTCACGAGAGTCTGGATTTCAGGAACAGGGTAGGTAGTAGCTGTACAATGTTTTTCTTTATATTTTTATTCTTTCCAATAGAAGTAAAGGTCTCATTAATTTTTTTTAACGTGTGTAAATGAAACCCACTGATTGGGTAACTTGTGGTACCATAGGTTTTTGGCTTGCTTCTGGCCACACTTCTTTTGATGCAGGCCAGGATATGGTTGGCCGCCTGGGCTGCAACTGCACGTTGTCGGCTCATGTCCAGCTTTTCATCCACCAGTACCCCCAAGTTCTTTTCCGCAGGGCTGCTCTCAAGCCCTTCTTCCCCCAGCCTGTATTGATACCAGGGGTTGCCCCAGCCCAGGTGCAGGACCCTGCACTTGGCCTTGTTGAACATCATGAGGTTCACATGGGCCCACTTTTTAAGCTTGTCCAGGTCCCTCTGGATGGCATCCCGTCCCTCAGATGTGTCAACAGCACCACTCAGCTTGGTGTTGTCTGCCAGCTTGCTGAGGGTGCACTTGATCCCACCGTCTATGTCATTGATGAAGATTTCAATCAGTACTGGTCCCAATATGGACCCCTGAGGGACACCACTTATCACTGATCTCTATCTGGGCATTAAGCTGTTGTCCACTACGCTCTGGATGCGACTATCCAACCAGTTCCTCATCCACTGAACAGTTCACCCATCAAATCCATTTCTCTCCAATTTAGAGAGAAGGATATTGTGGGGCACCATGTCAAAGGCCTTACAGATGTCCAGATAGATGACATCCATAGCTCTTCCCTTGTCCACTGATGTAGTCACTTCATCATAGAAGGCCACTAGGTTGGTCAGGCAAGAGTTGCCCTTTGTGAAGCCATGCTGGCTGTCTTGAATCACCTCACTGTCTTCCATGTGCTTTAGCGTAGCTTCTAGGAGGATTTGTTCCATGAACATCCCGGCACAGAGGTGAGGCTGACAGGTTGGTAGTTCCCAGGCTCCTCCTTTCTACCCTTTTTAAAAAATGAGTGCAGTGTTTCCCTTTTTCCAGTCATTTCCTTCATCAAAGCGGGGAGAGGGGCGTGGCAACTACTTTAGCCAGTTCCCTCAGGACTCTGGGATGTATGTCGTCAGGTCTCATAGACTTATGTATGTTCAGGTTCCTCAGATGGTCACAAACCTGATCTTCTCTTACACTGGGAGGGACTTTGCTCCCCCAGTTCCTTTCTTGTAGTCTATCCACTCTAGAGGTATGGAAAGAGAGGTTGCCAGTGAAGACTGAGGCAAAAAAGTTATTTAATACCTCAGCCTTCTTATGCATCGTTACCAGTTTGTCAGTCGTGTTCATTGGGGAGGGAGGGCATGCTTTCTTTGACCTTCCTTTTCTGGCTGACGCACCTGTAGAAGCCCTTCTTACTGTTCTTTGGGTCCTTTGCCAAGTTCAGCTCCAACCACTTCTTGGCCTTCCCAACCCAATCTCTATAAAACCGGGCAGCGTCCCTGTACACCACAGGATACCTGTCCTTGCTTCCACTGCCTGTGCATTCCTCCTTGCCCTTTAGTTTGACCAGCAGGTCTCAACTCAGCCATGCTGGTCTCTTTCCTTTCCTTTTCCTGACTTCTTACACCTGGGGATTGAAAATTTTTGCACTCTATGGAAAGTGTTCTTAAATCACAGAATCACAGAATCGCAAGGGTTGGAAGAGACCTCAGGAGATCATCTAGTCCAACCCCCCTGCTAAAGCAGGATCTTCTAGAGCATGTTACACAGGGCTTCATCCAGGCAGGCTTTGAATATCTCCAGAGTAGGAGACTCCACAATCCCCCTGGGCAGCCTGTTCCAGTGCTCCGTCACCCTCAGA